TGTCAAAAGGAGATCAAAGGAAGAAAATCTAAGTCACAACAACTAGAAATAGAGGTTATTGCATTATAGGGCTCAATTTTGTAAATGAATCAGTTCTAGCTATTCCCAAATTCATGAATCCTTTTTTTTTTTTCTAACATTTACAGCACCATCTTCCTTTAGATCCAAGAACTCAACTAAAAAATGAGGTTACAATATTAGAAAAGCAATCAGTCATTTTCACAAAAGACTAATTGTTTAATTTAGAAACATTTCATATCTGGTTGCACAAAAGCTATACTATCAGTGACAGAAAATTCTCCCAATATCATTGTTAAAGTAGAAGGATAGACCTTGGAAATAAAACATTATAATTCATCTTTTAACAATGAAAGAGAAAAATTAAACAAGATAGAGTAAAAATTCCAAACAATTAGTAAACAAGTTGGGTGTGCCAGATAGGTGAAAGAACAGAAGAAATGAGTAAAATGAGCAAAAAAGGATGAAGGAGAAAGCAAAAAAATGTAAGCAAACACGTTTACATCATACGTGAGTACATGCTCAAGGAAAATTGGACAAGCACAAAAACTTACATATTTTTGTCTCTTTCAGCCCATAGAAATAATAAACTAGTAGAGGAAGCCGAAGATCAGTAATTACTTTTTTGCAAAGACAGATTGCTTATTAAGTTATTAACACAAGAAGAAGCAAAAGATAAGTAATCTCTTTCCATTCTTTGCAAAGATCATTCGCTTATTTAACAAGCTTCCCAGATACTTGTAGACCATTCAACTGATTTTGTGCTTGTATTTTCATTGATTTGACCCGGAAAAAAGACAAATAAAACTAGCTTAAAATATTATCTCCAGAATTCATATTCAAGTTTTGCAATATTGCTTTTGTCCTAGATGTAAAAAAAGAATGATATAATAGAAACTAAAATAGTAATCGAGACTAAGGGTGTAAATGATACATTAGTACTCGCAAGCTACTCGGGTTCGATTCAAAAAAAACTCGAATTCGGTTCGATTATTGTCGAGTCGAGCTCGAACTCGAGTAGCTCGACTTATCGATCAAGTCGAATTCGAGTATTCTTATATCTGACTCGAGTAGCTCGCGAGCCTAATCGAGCTTTTATATTTAAATATATTTTTATTATTTTAATTAATAAAATATTTCGAGTCCGAGTTCGAGTTCGAGCATGAATAATCGAACTCTTGTCGAGTATACGAATCGAGTTTACTTTTACATATTAATCAAGCTTAATCGAACGAGCTCGAGTAGCTCGAATTCGATTACGAATCGAGCTCGAGCTTGAAAAATAAAATTCGATCGAGTTCGAACCGAGTATCGAATCCTGAGTTGTGAGTTGAGCTCGAACTCGAGCTTCTCACTATTCGACTCGGCTCGGCTCGTTTACAGCCCTAATCGAGACCCCTTACCTCAGGAAAGATTTGTTGGCTTCGGGATCTACTCCACAAATCTTCAATTAAGTATAAGTTTTCTCTATATTCATACCTTTCTTTGCATAGATCTGAACCATTTCATGTCAAGCATCAGTCTATTTCAACACCAGACAGCAGCTCCACTGACAAGGTCGCAGTGGATATATCAGCAGAAAATCCCTTACCCACCATTCTTTTAGAAGCTGTTGTGAAATTGAGACATTATTGTTTGCAAGAAACCCCAGGATCATAGTATTATGAGAACAATTATTTGGCGAACAACCACCCTCTTCCATTTTCCCATATAATTTATAAGCTTCACCTGGCACTCCTCCTTTAAAAGTCCCTTAATCATTACAGTGTAGGTTCGAACATCAAGCTTTAACCATATCATAGATAGTTCTCAAAGACATCATTACAACTGATTTTATCACACATAGCTTCTACTAATTCAATATAGCAGAAAGCTCTACAAATCCTGTATAAGTGTCATATTGTCAAGACACTTTAACAGCCAAAATTAATTAGTGTATCAATCTGAATGAGCTCTGGAAATTATGTGCTCTAAAATTTGGTCCAATGGATTCAATTACTTTCCCTCTAATAAACTAAATTATGATATCTATTTATTAGGAGTGTGAGGAACTCTTAGTATTTGAGAGAAAGCTATTGCTACAGATTTACCACGAAACATCCCCAGCAACTTCAAAATTGGAACCACAAAACCAACTATAAGATGTGATTTTACAGCCAACAATCTGACGTGTAGCTTCACATTTTGCTACATGCTTCGTACCCATTATTGAGGGTGCTGTAAGTGTTTGTTTCACACTTTCCAAGAAATAACTCCTCTAGCCAATAATACAAAAATTGGCTTCACAAGCGCGGAGAAATAGGATAAATTATCTGGCTAAGTCCAAAATGTTGGATTACTGATGATTAAAAACAGAATTGCTCAACTGTCTCCGAATTACACCTACAGTATACACAACACCAGAATGTGTACGGACTTGAGCATACAAATTACCCACAGTTGACATTTGAGGCATACTGAATATTCGACATGAGCTCTTTCATTGTCACCATGAGGATTGAGATTTTACCAGCATGTTACTCTTTACAACAAGTGCCTAGGAAAATAGTGCATATCATAACCTATTCAACACAAACTGAATGTAAGTTTTCTAATACCAACCGAATATGCCTCTATATCAGTCACGAAGAATATCAACCTCCAGACTAGAAGGAGAGTCTCAATTAGAATCTTTACCTGAAGTGACATGACAAAATGTTCTTGTCTCAAACAATAGGTCAGTGTTTGGAGCTGCTAATATGATATCATCAACTTAGAACACCCGCAGTATATAGCCACCCATTCCCACTAACCTCTTAACATATACATTGATCACGAATATTTTTTTTACAGTGACAATCTCATCTATTTCGTATATCACAGAATGAATGCCTTTGAAGTCCAGAAATAGACTTCTCAAATTAACAAACATAAAACCACAAAATCTTCAAGTTACTCCATTTAGACGTCTTAACGTCTAACTGATGTAACTCTTAACCGAATGAGCCAGCAATGCCATAAAGATTCTAAAAAAAATCATTGGTAGAAACAGGATAGAAAGATTCTTTGCAACAAATTTCTTCTCTTCGTTTAAGTTTCGGGCCACAAGATTGGCTTTAAACCTTTCTACCTAGCCTATGGAATACCTTTCAATATTGTAAGTCCATTAATAATCAATTGGACTATAATCATCTAGTCACTCATCTAGATCCCATACATCATTATACAACATATATACAATCTCATCTTGTATGGCAAACATCTAACTTAAAGGTTACAAACACCTGAAACGCAATAGAATCAAAATACACATAAATACCATATTCATGTTCCTCAGTAAGATCAAGTATAGATCCAGAAACGAGATTGTTGGTTCATTCCCTTGTGGCGGTTTTATCATTAGCTAAATCACGTAAATGATTGACACAACATGTCCGAATTGATTTTGTAGAGTTCAAAACCTAAAACTCTCACTGCCTAAATCATCTTCTAGATAAATTGCAAGGTCAAATACGATGATTCTAGCATTATATGACAGATGACTAAATCTAGAATCACTTAAATTGATGCAACAACCAACAGAATACCGCTGATAGTTTTCTAATCAAGTTTTCTTGATTATGGATTTCGGATCAAGTAATAGAGCTGGGAAGAGGTGAACCGGTGGAGGGTTTAGAGTCTGCTTTGAAGATGAATTCGACCGGTACTCGGCCACCCGTTGGCGTTTAAAGTCACAAACGCCGGTTTCGTGGACTTTCGTCATTGGAAGGAGTTGGTTAGTGGGTTTTAAAGTTAGAGTTAGGGTTTTTGTGATAAGTTAAAAAAAATGCTAGTGAAAATGAAAGAGACGAAAAAACAAAATAAAAAGTGATCCGGGGAGGACAAAGGGCTTAGCCGTTGGGTTTGCATAAAGAAAGATTCGAGTAAAAGGCTGCGAAGGGTTTTAGTGCTTTATTACTTATAATAGGGTAAAGTACAAATTTTTAATATAAAATATTAAAATAATGATTTAATTTTAAATTATATTTAATAAAATTAAATTGAATTTAAATTTAAATGATTCATAAATTCAATTAAAATTAAATTAATAAATTAAATTAATAATTTAAAAAATATTTTTTAAAATTTTAAATATTAATGTTTTAGTCGACCTTAAACTTTATTATTAAATGTAAAAATGAATTTAAAAAAAAAATTAAATCCAAAAAATTAAATCAAATTGGGCCTAAACTTGCTTAAAAGAATGAAATATCATGTTAAGCCCTGCTCATGAATAGCTCTACTAACTAGATTAGCCATGTTATTAAAATTTTAGTTTTTGAATTTGAATCAATTTGGGAAAATTAATTTCTTTTTCTTTTTTCTTTTTTACAAAATATTGGTTTTTGATACGCTCACAATAATAAGGAGCATTTCACCAATAAATATTTTTTTATTACAATATTACAATTATTCAATCATAATAAAAATATAAAAATTTATGTAAAGGCCATCGCTTATAATTATAAGTGTAGGCTCCATGTAAAATTTGAATAAACCTTACATAATTATGAATTATGATTGGCTAATTGTAATATAATAATTTTAAGTGATATGTTCTCCTCGCAATGTGAGTCGGAAGAGGAAAAAAACTAAAAGAAGGAAATTTATATATATATATATATATATATTGTATTTGAGATTATTAAAAATTAAATTTTGATCACATAAATTAAAAATCTAACATTTTATCGATCGACTACATGCTTGTTGGCAAAAAAATTAGTTTTTGCTTTTTGTACAAAATGAAAAAAGTTCTTTTTTTTTTTTCTTGCAACCAAATCTACACATAATAATTTCGAAAATAAAATTAATAACAATTTGAAATCTATTTCTTATAATCCCTTAAAGAATAAATGATATATTTATGTTAATTTTTTATTATTTATTATTTTAGTTGGCTTTTTGAATATATATAAAATTTTATATTCAATGATTAGAAAATTTTTTCTAAGCAAACAAAATTATAAACCAAATAAGAGTGTTATTCTTTATTGATATTTGAAATTTCCCTATGGGATTTGCGATCCATAATAAAACTAAAATATTACATTACAAACACATAAACACGGTAATAGTCTACAGGCTGCCAAATTCACTCTAATGGTCTAAGAGTGCTAGTGCACAAGGCACTTTATTTACTTAGTAATTTTGACAGCCTATTACTTCAGCCAATTAAGCATAACTTATTGTTGCTAAAAGTGTTGGGGAATCTCCTTCTCCAATTTGAACTGTTAAGGTTAAACCATCATGTGTACTGGAGCTGTTAGTGTTGGAATTGTGCAGTTTATCATGAATTTCTCCCCAAAGCTCGTTAGTAAAGGGCTTGGGTTCAGCAATCAATGCATAGGCCTGCATTATACAAGTAATCATGCATAGTTTTTATTTTTCTTTGTTTTGAAATCTTTAAAATACTAAGAAGTAAATTGCAGGTTAATTTGGTAGACTTAGGATCATTATTATTATATACCTTACTTTTAGGAGAACTGGACTCGTTTAACCAAGCTGCAATTGCGTGATAGCTTTTGTCGTTTTTATTTTTGGTGAGATATACAACAGCTGCTTCCGAACCACCATTTTGATTTCCAACATGTTGAAAAGTACCCGTATCCTTATGCAGGATTGGGCTAGGGTACTGGCCGACAACGTGCCCTTGCCAATCAAAGGAAGTCACATAACTGATCTCTGAGTCGGTAAGGTTTTGAATTTGGCCGTTGGTGCTAACTTTAGACATTGTAGTGATCTCTAGTTAATCCTCTTCCTTGTCGGTGTTGTGTTTGTGCATTATCACACTAGCACATCCATCATCTATATATACTAGTTTGAAAAACTAACCCTAGTTTGGGGATGTTAAATTATAGAGTTGAGAAAGATAACCCCAGTTTGAAAAGCTGGCAAATTGTTTGTTTAGAATACGAAAGCGATATTATCTAAATTCAATCACGAAAAGTTAATAAAAGTTTCAACAACCAACTATTAAAGCACTAATATTTAAAGCAGTCTAATACATATTACCTAATTATCAAAAACCAAGCTCATTTCCAAAACCATAAATTAATATAAGAAACAATGATCTGAAACAAATTATAATTTCAACTACCTACAATTAAAGCACTAAAACTAAACACAATAGAAAATCAGATTTCTTTGCTATCAAAAACCAAATTCATATATTCATACCTGAAATCAAGGGCGGACCTTGGCAAGGGCAAGTTGGGGGCTTGAGCCCTGGTGAAAAAAAATATTTTAAGTTTACTTTGTCTTTTATGGGGTAAGGGTGGATCTGTTATATAGGCTTTATTGGTTTGAACCCCCTTTGAAAAAATTCTTAAATGTTTACTTTGTTTTTTAGGCTCTCATTGGGAAAAAATTATTAAAATATTAAATTTTCATTTTTTACTTTGTCTTCTGTGGAGTCCTTATTGAAAAAATAATTATATTATAATAATCGTAAGTGATACACTTTCGATTTTGCGAAAAGAAAAATGTGCAAATCCACTCATTTTCTTTCAGTCTCCCTTTTTTCTTCATATGACAACAAAACAAATGATAAAAAGAAATAGCTTTTCTTTATTTCCTTTTTCCACTACCAAACACAGTTTTAACGCCAAGCATATTAATGCAATCCCATAAAATGCTGATGATAATCGGGAGAATAATACTATCTTCACCACAAAAAATTTTTTTTTTTATAAATAAATTTAAGGAAATTAAATTTAAATATAAAAAAATTATATCGTCAAAATTAAAAAATTACCCATGTTTAATTGGTACTGATATTTAAACGGGTGATGTAAAGGTATTAACACATTTCTCACTTATACCGTACTTTTCGGATCCAACCTTAATTTTGTAGACTTAAACTAACTTTTTTTTAGTAAATCTTAATTAATTTTAATATTTTTATTAAAAGATGATATTTTTGAGTAATCAATCACACTCTATAAAAAATATTGACATGACTTCAAAAATTTTTACAACCATCAAGTTCCCTGAATAAAAAATAATCATGACAATACTTATAAGGAGCATATTACGTACAATAATTGTACTAAAATTAAACAATCAAATTTTAGAGTTACGTAAGATCTATTAAAATATTATGTGGAATCCACTTTTATAAGTGAAGGATCCTCACATAACTCTTTATTGAGATTGGACAATTGTATTATTATAATAAAAAAATTATAGTTGAAATAACTATGTTATATATGTTGAATTTTAATTGATTGTGATTATAAAATATGTTTGTTTTGTGAAAATTGATTGTCAAAAAATATATTTTGAAAAATATTTACATTTTTTTTAAATTAAAGATTTTTTATTATTTGAATGAGTCAATAAAAAATGTGTTCTATTGTTTGATTATTTTTTGGAAAATCTATTTTTTAAAATAATATTGACATAATTGTTAAAATATTAAAAATTATTTATTATTAAAGTATATTGAAATGATTTATCATTAAAATTATTAATATAAAAAAATAGTTATATTTTAAAAATAATAATTAAAATTAAAATATTATATTAATATTAAACACTTAAAGTAAAAATTAAAATTATTATATTAATATAAAACACTTAAAATTGGTAGATAATTTTTTGCACCAAAACCGATTTGATTGGATAGAGATAGATTTTGAATGTATAATCGACTAGATGTAAATGGATATATCGCTAATGATTAGGTTAAATAAAATATATCAATAATATAACAATGTAAATTAAATATCAATATAAAAATATTTCAAAAATACATTACATTATATAATATTTCAATGAAAGTCACAAGTAATTACTAAATTAAACAGACATAAATAGAATGCCAAAGTTGAAAATAAATTAAATTCATAATGAAACTAACAGTTCTTTGGTGGACCTTATCATGACTTGAAAATTAAAGCTTACAAGAATATTTGATATTCCCTTCGTTTCAAAATGTTTGTCATGCATTGATTTTTATGAAATTTAAGAAAAAAGTTTTGACTTTAATGTATTTAATATTAAAATTTAAATTTTTTTATAAAATTAAAGTTTTATGATTTTTAATATAAAAAAATAAAAAAAATCATAAAATAATTTTACAACTAAAAAGTAAGAGTTTTAAATGTTCAAAAAAAAAATAAAGCCTAATTTTGAGACATTCAAAAAATAAAAATGGATAAGAAAAATGGGACAGAAGGATTTTTTTTTTTTAATTTTAACTGAAGGATTAATGAAAGGTAAAATTTTATTAAAGGTTACAAATATCGATACATGAAACTTTTAAAAATCATGAATAAAAATGAAATATTAAAAAAAGTAGTGGATGACAAATGCAATTTATACAGATTATTGATGAAAATGAGATATTAATAAAATTCATTGATGATAAATATAACTTTTAAAGATTTTAAATAAAATTTATACGTGGATAAAAGATCATATGTCATCAATGAATTTTGCTCATTATTTATAAAAGAAACAGTTAACTTACATAACAAACTCAACATAATATATACAATTATATTAAACAAAAAGCAAAAAGTTTATCATTCAGGATCGAGTGCTAAGAAAGAATAGGCATCACTAATTTCTTTGATCGAATGCCAGTTTTTACTAACCGTTGGAGAAAATTAATTAATCAAACTTGCATTCATTCACTTAATCTAAAACTAATAATGAGACAGCAAGCAAAATTTTCAACAACCTATTATTAAACACTAACATTAAAAACAATCCCAAATAAAATCTTCTAAAAGATCGTTGCATGAAATTTTTAAGAATCATTATGAAAATGAAATATTAATAAAAGTTTGTGTATGGTAATTAGTTTTCTAGAAAATAATTTTTTATGTTATTCCATTAACTTTTAAAAATGGTTTTATCCATTTTTTATCTTCAAATTAATAATGACTCTCCTACCATAAATCTTATTTATGGAATTTTTTTTTGTTAAACCTCAATAAATTGCTTTTACTTATTAAGTGGTTTTTATTCTATATTAGAACTCTAACAATTAATTAAAATCAAAATAAAAAAGTATACTGGAAAAATAATGAAAATTAATTAATTAATCAACTTAACTATATGAAAACTTAACTCTCACATTCATACTCAATCTATGGATAATATATCATTTATAATTCTTTTTACTATAATATTATAGTTTCCCAATAATAATAAAAAATTCTGTAAGAGTTTATCATTTATAAGTATGGTTTTCATATAAATTTTTTATAGATCCCACAATTTTGAATTATAATTGGTTTGTCACTTATAAGTGTGCAAATTCACTCATTTTCCTTTCATTTTCTTATTTCCTTCGTACGAAATGAAAGAAATGATGAAAAGAAATAGTTTTGCTTTATTTCCTCTTTCCTTCTACCAAACACAGTTTTAACGCCATGCATATAAATCCAATCCCTTTAAATGCAGATGGGAATTGGGGGGAGTTTGGTCTTGGGTTGCAAATTGAAAGGTTGGATGCTCTATTTAGAGGTTGAACATTAAAAGCAAGTCCACATTTAAAGGGATTGCGTTTAAATGCATGGCGTTAAAACTGTGTTTGGTAGGAGAAAAGAGGGAAAAAAAAAAAGAAAAATTATTTCTTTTCATCATTTCTTTCGTTTCATATGAAAGAAAATGAGTGAATTTATACATTTTCTTTCCCTCAAAATTGGATGCGTATCATTTATAATTATTGTAATACAATTAATCAATTATAATTCATAATTATACATGTGAGATTGATCAAAATTTTATATGAAATTCATACTTATAAATAACATATCACCTACAATAATTGTACTACAATTAAACAATCAGATTTAGAGTTATGTAGATTCTATCAAAATATTATATGGGGTCCACTTTTATAAGTGATAGATCCTCACAAAATTCTTAATTATGATTAAACAATTGTAATATTATAATAAAAAAATTATAGTTAAAATGCTCCCATACTTATTGATGAAAATGAGATATTAGTAAAAGTCATAGATGATAAATATAACTTTTAAAGATTTTAAATAAAATTTATACATGGATAAAATGTCATATGTCATCAATGAATTTTGCTCATTATTTATAAAAGAAAACAATTAACTTACATAACAAACTCAACATAATATATTCAATTATATTAAACAAAAGTAAAAAGTTTACTATTGAGGATCGAATGCTAAGAAAGAATAGGCATCACTAATTTCTTTGATCAAATGCCAGTTTCTACTAACCATTGGAGAAAATTAATTAATCAAACTTGCATTCATACACTTAATCTAAAACTAATAATGAGAAAGCAAACAAAAATTTCAACAACCTACTATTAAAGCACTAACATTAAATACAATCCCAAATAAAATCTTTTGAAAGGTCGTTGTATAAAATTTTTAAGAATCATTATGAAAATGAAATATTAATAAAAGTTTGTGTACGGTAAATAGTTTTCTAGAAAATAAATTCTTATGCTATTCCATTAACTTTTAAAAAAGGTTTTATCTATTTTTTTATCTTCAAATTAATAATGACTCTCTTACCATAAATCTTATTTATGGAATTTGTTTTTTGTTAAACCTCAATAGATTGCTTTAACTAATTAAGTGGTTTTTATTCTATATTAGAACTCTATCAATTAATGAAAATCAAAATTAAAAAGTATACTGGAAAAATAATAAATATTAATTAATTAATAAAAAAATCTCAAATCAGATTACTTAACTATATGAAAGCTAAACTCTCACATTCATACTACAATTCTTTTACTATAATATTATAACTATTCAATAATAATAAAAAATTATGTAAGGGTTTATCACTTGTAAGTATGGTCTTTATATAAATATTTTGTAAATCCCATATAATTTTAAATTATAATTGGTTTATTACTTATAAGTGTGTAAATCTACTCATTTTCCTTCCATTTTCTTATTTCCTTCATACGAAACGAAAGAAATGATGAAAAGAAATAGTTTTTCTTTATTTCCTCTTTCCTTCTACCAAACACAGTTTTAACGCCATGCATATAAATCCAATCCCTTTAAATGCAGATGAGAATTGGGGGGAGTTTGGTCTTGGGTTGCAATTTGGAAGGTTGGATGCATTATTTAGAGGTTGAACATTAAAAGCAAGTCCACATTTTATGGGATTGCAATTAAATGCATGGCGTTAAAACTGTGTTTGGTAGGAGAAAAGAAGGGAAAAAAAAAGAAATATTATTTCTTTTCATCATTTATTTCGTTTCATATGAAAGAAAATGAATGAATTTATACATTTTCCTTTCCTCAAAATTGGATACGTATTATTTATAATTATTGTAGTATAATTAATCAATTATAATTGATAATTATAGATGTGAGATTGATCAAAATTTTACATGAAACTCATACTTATAAAGAACATATCACCTATAATAATTGTACTACAATTAAATAATTAGATTTAGAGTTATGTAGATTCTAGCAAAATATTATGTGGAATCCACTCTTATAAGTGGTAGATCCTCACAAAATTCTTAATTATGATTAAACAATTGTAGTATTATAATAAAAAAAATTATAGTTAAAATGCTCCCATACTTACAAACAATAATAACTAATCCTAATGAACCTACAAGGTAACCAAGATTTTTTTTTCTTTTCAAAAAGCCCAAAATAATCCGATACATATTGCTGCAGATCCAATTTTCATCCACCTTACCATCTTGCTAAGCTCCACTTTATCATCACCAAAAATACCCTCAACACTACCTATTAAAACACCAACATTAAAACAATCCATATTACGTAATTATCAAAAACCACAAATAAATATAAGAACAATGATGTGAAACAAATTAGAATTTCAACTACCTACAATTAATGCACTAAATCTAAAATCAATAGAAAATCATATTACATTGCGATCAAAAGCCAAATTCATATATTCACACCAGTAATGTAAAAATAATAATAAGATGAAACCAAATTAAAATTTCAACAACCTACAATAAAGCCCTAACTTTCATGTACAAGTCTCATAACTGAAGTAAACCAATATGAAAATGAAAGGACATTTGGAGATGATGACAAATTAATGTTTATAACTAAATAAATCCGTAGAACCAATTTACGTGGCTTATTTTAATTAATAATTTTTAAAATTCCATGGAGATTTTAACCTAAATCAAAGTATGAAGGATGAAAAACAAAAATAATCTCTCTTAAGGCTAGAGTAAGACTAATAATCAATTTCAATACATGATTACAATCAACTAATCAAATATATCATTAAAAAATAAAATACATCAAGAAATTTTCATTTTTCATTTTGTTCATTGATTCGTACTGTGTTTTAGAGATTCTTTGTTTTCATTGTTGATCAGTCATTGCTTGTTTGTCCTTAGTGGTTGAGATTGGGATTGTGATTTGAAACGTTGGATGCATTACTTGGAGGTGGAACAGTAAACGCAAATCTACATTTTTGTGGGGATTGCATTTATTGCATGGCGTTAAAACTGTTTGTTGAAAGAGACAAAATTATGATGCGTTAACATCCCATCATTTGGAATTTGAGATGATTTGGCATTCGAATTTTGGGATATGTACAAAGAATTTTAGGAGATGGGAGATGTTTATCTCTCATTGTGTGATCCAAAGTCACACCTAAACAAATATATAATAATTATTATTATAATACTTTAAAAATTTTACAATTAATTATAAAATGTTTGCAAAAAAAAAAAAAGTTCATATGATCAATTGTTTTTATATATTTTTTTCCTGTAAGCATAAAAGTATGCGTGTTAATTAATCCTTCATCATTTTTTTAATCTAAGTTATAAAAAAAGAAGTAACAATAATCTATATTATTATATAAATATGGCTTGGGCCTTAGGGTGTGAAATTTTTATAAAATCTAGCTTCTTGATCGCTACGTTGCACATGACTTATTGTGTTATTTATAAAAAAAAATCAATTACTTACATAACAAAATAAACATAATATACACATTTATATTAAAGAAAAAGAAAAATTTTACTTATCAAAGATCAATTTTGAAGGAAGGGATACCCATCACTCTAGATTTTTTTTTATCAAATGCCAATTTCTACCGAGAAATTAAAAAAAAAAAAAAATCGTTGACTGGAAGTCAAAGCCAAAGAGAATAGTTTTTCTGTATGTTATTCCATTAACATTAAAATATTGTCCAATTTTTTAATTTTATCTTGAATGTGATAATAACTCTCCTACCGTAAACCTTATTTAGTTTTTGTTTTTCTTGAACTTCATGCAGATTAACTTTTGCTAATTAAGTGGGTTCTGTTCTACATTAGAACTATAAATAAAGCAATTTAATTTAATTTAATTAAAACTCTATTAATTAAACACATTAATTCAAAATTAAAAAATATAATGAAAAAGTAATGATAATTAATTGATTAATTAAAAATTCTTAATCAGATATACATATCTATCAAAAACCAAACTCACATTCATACCTGTAATCTAAAAATAATAATGTGAAAGCAAATCGAATTTTCAACAACCTAAGCACTATTAAAGCACTAACATTAAAAAAGATAAATTGTACATTTGACCCCTACAGTTTTCATGTTTTATATATGTTGATCACTTAGTTACAAAAAAATCACAATTTGATCAACAACATTTTTAAAATTATTTTTTGGTTATTAAGCTTTTAGAGGCTAATAGCTAATTGACGTGATTTTTCATGTCATCTGACATTTATCACATGGTATTATTATGTCATCTAACATGTCAAATGATATTATCAATGTAATTATAATTTTTCAAAAATAAATTTTGGATATTAAAAAGGAATAATTATATATTTGACCATTTAACTTTTCAAATTTTGAATTTTGATAATAAAACTTTTAAAAATCACAACTCGATTTCAATGAAATTTATTAATATTTTTATTTTCATTCTCAACATATCATCTTCGACGTGTGATTACAAGGATTTATCACATTGGGTCCTTTATTCCCTGAACGTATGACCGCCTTCACACTATTTTCTCTAACACGGATTTAATTGTCAAAGAGTTGTAGATATATTGGACTTTCTAGGCTTTTTTTAGTTAGGTTTAGTCCATCTAATATGGTCTCCATGCAAATTCTACTAGCCCAAAGACATTGGGCCCATTGGGGTTACACTCTCATGCAACAAACCAATTCTTTAATTAATAAATTAACAAATTAACTTGGGTTCTTTTTTATAAACTGAAAAATCAAGTGATGAATAATTAAGTATTAAATTTTTAATACTGATTTTGATAAGTAATGAATTTGAATTATAAAAATTATTTGGTATTTTTATTGAAAATTAAATTCTGAATATAAATATATTGGCTGATAACTGTAAAAAATTAAATTATGAAAATTTTTCGTTTATCATTTTTATTTTTATTTTCATCGCAGTGTTTTATAATATTAATCACCCAGTGTTCATTAGTATTATTATTATTATTACTGTGAACGTACCCAGAAAGTACAAACAGTAAATATTCAACAAAAATACAATAAATTACCTAAATTTAAACACGTAACGTCCAGCCAAATTGTGGACCATTGACGAAATCTCAAACCTAGCAAAGCGGTTCAATTAGCATAAAGAAACTTCCAAGTCCATTCCTGTTACATGACCACTCATAGGATCATTTCCCTTTTAATATAATGATAGTGCAATCATGCAATCTCAAAAGAAGATCAAAGGATGAAGCAAATCTAAGTCACTCATAGTACTAGATGTTATTACATTCATATTACTCAAATCTATTGGGCATTGGCAATTTACTTAGCAAGACAATAAATAGGCACAATAATTTTGAAGCTCCCACAATTTTATTTTTTTTTAAATGCTGCATACCATGCCAATGCCATTCTTGCATGGGTTGGTTATCAAATTAATTATTAACATGTAAACGACTCAAACTTGTTACTCTAACAAGAGAGATGTCTGACAGGTCACAAAGACATCTAGAAGAGTTGATTACGTGTGAGAAATCATGGATCACCATCATGACTCATAAGCTTGCTAGCCAACATGTTTTGCCTGATATCTGAAATATGCATAGTAATGGGCAAGTTTGTAACTAAGTGTGCTCAATGAATTATTATTGCAAAATCTGTCTCTATCTGATGGGCAATGAGGGGTTATCTTCCTTTAAAATGTTCTCTAAATATGCATTTCATTAATTGAAACAGCTAACCGTTAGTGAAAATGTGAGTTTGCTCAACTGTACACAAGATAGAGGTAACAAGTGCACACATAGCCCTAGAACACTTTAACCAAAAACTGGATTTCTCTTAACAGCATGTCTAACTGGTTAGCATGGCTAGTTACCAGTTAAAGCCCGTGGTCGATGCTCAATAGTAAATAAAGACATCCCGGTCTGTGCAACTGCTCTCACAAATGCCATATTTGCAGTCAAAGTCGGAGCATGCCAGTAATCTCCAGTTCCAAACACAATCTTGTTTTTCAGTGCCAGCTTTCTTGTCGTTGGCAGGCCTATCAGTCGTTCAGAGGGGCTATCTCGCACAACCCTGTTAAAGTTTAGACATGGAAAAATTTCAGAGAAAAGTCGAATTCTACATCCAAGAAAATCTGGAATTAGGACCTATTTTGATCTATACAGATTTAGAAACTAAATAACCAAGAACAGAAATTATTGTCCCATTTTTTAAGTTCTTAACAGATAGAAGTTTGTTTGGTTTTAGTTTACCTGTTATCCTCGTTTTTAAGCATCAGGGATTCCACTAATTCTAGAATTGCTGGAACTTACAGATGTTGAGTCCAAGAACACTACGTTTTACTTATGCGTACAGGCTTTTGTCATGGTTTAGGAATTGTTTTAAGTCAAATTTGGTGGCTGTATATTTGGTTGTAGGGATAAGATTCTTAGATCTCTATAGATATAAGCTAGTAACTCATTGCATGAAAAGGGAACTATTTCTTGTGATTTTCTAGCACAGCACTTTGCGCCTCTAAATCAATAGCCTTAGAATTTGGTCATGTAACTCCTATGCAAACCTAAGTGTGAATCTTAGTATTTATCTTCTATATTAAAATTGCCGCAGCTTTAATTGAGATTTCAGATTTGACACCAGATTTAGTGCCAGTTTGATTTGCTACCACCAAACCTAAATAAATCATATGCTTAAATCCTTAGACTCGCAACTAAACCCTTCAATATATTAGTAAGAGTTGTCAGAGAACTCACAGGAGCCATTTCAGTAGCTGATCAGCTCTGTGCTTCTCATTAGCTCCTCCACACATCAATATTAGCTCCTTGAACTCGGAAAGAACACTTTCACATATTATGCCTATCTTTCCGGATACAGCAGCACTCAGGTCGGCATGTATTGGGTTCAGAATTTCAGACATTGCCTGTCAAGAGGTACATGCCTTACTCCAACTGAGATCTAAGTCTAATATAAACTATCCATTAACAAGGCATAAAAACAAAACATCAATAATGCTAAAAATAACAGAGGTGTAAGTCAGCATCATAAAAAAACTGATGTTTATTAAAAAAAAAAAAAAGCTTACATGTCATTCAAAATCACTGTTGCTTTACCCTCCTTGTGGGAAGGCAGTTGGGGGAGATATGTCAAGCAAAACATTGACATTAATGTAGCATGCATATCAGAATCAACCCACATGGTTTTATATTAACAGTGGGATATAATTTAAGGGATTAGTTACTTAAATCTATAATAATGGTAGGAACGGCAATAAGGGTTTGTAATTCATTGGCCTAGGTTAAGATTTGATGAAAAAATGGTGGCTGGAATTGATAGTTCTGGTTGCTTAAAATTTTGCACAGCAGCAGAAAATAATCTCATGGATATCTTTTGAATACTTAATTAGCAGGATTCAGTAGGAAAATACATGGATAATTTAGCATGCCAAGGGTACAAGATTTTATGATACAAGGAAGATGAAGGTATGAAGGTTACTCGAATTATTCTTTTCTATGAACTAATACGGGGTACTACCATAAATCCAAATGAGAAAAGACAGAAGAAGAATTCCAAACCAGCAACAAGCTTACTAAATTGTCAAGGAAATCAACCACAACACAATTGCAGAATAGACATTACTTGGGGTAAGACTTGCCAATCATATGACTTCCATAGACGCTTTCAATTAGAAGAAAAATATCTCCTTCAATCGTTAGAGATGTAAGGCTCATAGAAGTAGCCTCAGATTTCCAAAGATAAGTATCTTTTTTAACCACAGCAACCATGAGCAATGAGTATGCCATTACTAATAGCTTCATTAGTGAGTGTTGGGGAAAAAGAAAAACAGAGCAAGTCTAAGAAGGCTTTTTAATTTTGTCCCCATGGAGAAAGAAGAAGAATGACTGCATAGATTAGTCCAAATGTCATGACCATATTTCCATGAGTATTAACTAGACCCGCTTTACCCAGAGACTGGTCAACATGAAAATTGCATATTTTCAATTTTTTTTTCATGTTTTTGGGTTGGGTGAAGAGATATCATTACCATCTGACTTTGCCACAGTGAATCAACTCCTACCATTGTAATTAATTTCAAAAGAAATATTCCTCACCGTCATTCCTCATATTTAAATTAACGTATAGCCCGACACATGAGCCAATGCAAACAAGAGAGTAGTAAACTGTAATCCACAAATAAACAAAAATTTCTTTAGAATTTTTATACAAAAATATATTGAACCTAAAAGAAACAAGACTTTCAAGTTAAGAATTCATGGCTAGAAACTATTTTAGGCTATCTAACTTCCATGGGCGTAATACAAAGACAGGAGGAAGAGATCTTAAGTTATCCAAATGGATCAACTTGCATCATCAAGATTCTTAAAATTATGTGGCACGAAGCAACAGGAAAAACATAACTTGAATGAAAGTTTTACCTGGGCAATCACAAACTCATAATTTCCCTTGAACCGATGTTGCAGTTCAACCTGTGGTTTATTCAAAAGTTCCTCTGCACAACCATTGCTGATTCCTGACACAACAGCTATCAAAGCTGTTGTATCAAAGTTTATAAAATCATTCTCACCGGAAAAACCCACCGCCTTAGTAGATTCCACCTTTTTCATTTGTGAAAGAAGAGCAGAAAAAGAATGGCCTAAGCCTAATTTTAAATTCACATTCCCTCCTTGATGCTCAGGGGTAAAAACATTTGCAAACAAATCTTTCGTCCCATGTTCAAAACTCATGACATCATTCACAACGCAATCAACCTTAATTTCAAGAAGACATTCCTCCTTATACGACCTTGAAATTACATTAACCCATTCGCCATCAATTTCCTCAGTGAAATCAAATAAGAGTCAGACAAGTTCCAGTGCTAGCTTGGAGGCCCCCAAATTCGTCCATAAGCTTCTGGACGGATAGAGTTGGTGAGTCCCATTTGAAAAGAAAAGGACCAATAGAGAAGGCTTAAGGGTTTTGGTTGACCGTGCTGCATCAAGGACCTTTGTTGGATTCTAGACTTAAACCCTTGTTTTTTTACTTGGATGCCAAGAAATGTAGTTTCCGGTTTCTTATCAGAAACAATAATCCAAACTGGGTTTTTGTTGAGAGTACATACAATATGGACATGGATGAGATTGGAAGAAAAATGGTTTTTATTTTTATTCGAAAATGGAAGGGGAAGTGGCTTGCAAACACGGGAAACTGCAGTTATAAAAGGTTGTTGAAGAATGTGAACAATGGCTTCCAGGTGCCCAATGTTGACACTGTTCATTCAAAACAAGATAATGAAACCTTTTTGTTGTTGTTGAAACTGAAAAAGACAGATACAGAGAGCTAAATGTAAACAAGGTTAGAAATATTGATGATGAAATTAAGAGAAAGAAGAACCTGAGAGAGTGAGAAGAGGTTGGATTGGGAAAGCGAGAGAGGAAAGAGAGCTCGGAATGGGCCAACTTCGAGAGGGTGTGTTTGCAATTGGAATTGAAATTGAGGGTGATGCCCAAAGATTCTATTTTCTCTATCAATACGCGACATCTCTGCTTCGCCGCCTCCACCTTCTCCTCCATGCTCCGCCTCTTCAGATTACCTTGATGATTCATGCCAACTACCCCAAAATTTTTTAAGCTTGGATCAAAACCTTATTATTACTACCGAATTTACAAATGTGAAGA